ATATATATATATATATATATATATATATATATATACACACACACACACACACACACATACACACACACGCATATGCATATGCATGCATGTACTTCCCTGGGTCTCTAATTCCTGTGTGATACGATGGCCCGTTTGTGTGGAAAGGCTGGGTTCGCAGGGTGTGCTTGATTCGCTTCCTGAATTCACGCCTTTACTGGGTCGGCCTGGGGAGCTGAATCGGGAACTGGTTCGACGGGCTGGATTCGCGTGAGAGGGGAAGGGGGGAAGTGGAGTCGCCTTATCAGACAGAGCAAGTTGAGCAAATGTATTTGCTTGGCTTTTAATGGACACGGAGTTGTGCAAACCGAGTCCATCTCTTGTTGGAAGGGGTGCTTGACCAGGAGGGCAATTTGCTGCCCTCCAGATAGCCTGCCCTGCAGTGGCCAAGCCATTCTGGGAGTTGTTTGTAGGATCGCTTAAATGGGCATGAAGTTCTTTTTCCCTAACATGAACACTTAATCAAATCATGTGTATAACATAACATACGTCGTCATTATATTTTTATCCCACCTTTTTATATATAACTCAAGATGGTGAACATACTTAATACTCCTTCCTCCTCCTATTTTCCCCACAAGAACAACCATGTGAGATGGGTTGTGCTGAGAGAGAGGGACTGGCTCAAAGTCACCCAGCCGGCTTTCCTGCCTAAGGGAGGCCTAAAATTCAAATCTCCTGGTTTCTAGGCCAGCACCTTCACCACTACACCAAACTGACTCTGCATGCCTGTGAGCTACCACGCAGTGCGGTACAGAGCACACCACTTTCACTTTTGTCACCACTGGAAATATTTTCAATAATTGGTACGGTTGGTGACGTATCCCCAAAGCTTCTGTCCTCCTCAGTCTCTAAGTTGCTTCAAGATTGTATGTCTGCCTGCTTTTGCTATATTAGATTAAGCTTGCTGTGTTTTTGGGAGCTTCAAGAAGGAAATGCTTTTGCCGTAGACCCATATTCAGCCTGTTGGCTCAAGTGGGGCTCCCTCCTAGTCTAAAAGCACATCTCAGGTTGTGGCTTTTGAGAACTTTGGAGGAATCCAAAATGAGGGAGAAGACATTGTGTTCATCCAGTGGTGATGAGCTTCCAGGCTAATAGGCCGTGGTCTAATCATTTGGTATTCTGATGTTTTGCCAGCAACTGTTAGCAACATTCCAAGAAGTGAGCTACAGAGCAGACTAGTTTCACCTCTGAAGATGCCAGCCACAGATGCTGGTGAAATGTCAGGATACTAGATTGTTAGACCATGGCCTATTAGCCTGGAATCTTGTCACTATTGGATTGATGCTGGCTGTGAAAGCCTGCATCAATATAAGACGTAGTGTTGATTCACAGAAAGTGGTAGAATCTTGGGGAGGAAACAGTTATACTTTGAAAAACACAATATTTTGATAGCCTCGTTGCTGATTATGTAACACCTACCATATCCTTTTTCTGCAAATGTGATCACAGTATACTTCTTAGTTACTGAATGAATATATGGCAAGAACTGTTTTAAAAAAAAGCTTGAGTTTCATTTTGCTGGTTCTTCTAACAGAACTTGGCATCTTCTTCCTTGGCTTCAAGAGACTCTTGCTATGGTAATGGGAAGAGGAACAAGCAGGATGTTTTGAGTTGCACTGATTCAAATGCAGGTAGTGAAGTTGGATGCACAACATTTAGCTAAACCCACATATTTTCTTTGACTGGGTTTTTTTTTTTAAATTACAAGTCTTCAATTAATGTTTATGGTTTTGGACTGAAATAGTAATCATCACACAATATAGTTGACATATGCAAAGTGTCTAAAAGAGAATTCAGTGAAATAAATAGAATTTTATGAAGTCCAATTTCATCTAGAAAGATTTATGGCATAATTTAACATGATTAGGCAAAATAGCTTGCAAACTTTATTTAAAAATGTCCTGCTTATGACACATACATACCTTTTAATACTTTGTTACAGGCTGCAGAGACAGCTGGCTTGGAAGAGCAGTTGCAAGGATGGGGTGAAGTGATTCTGGTGACTGACAAGATCCTTCGTTGGGAAAAGTCATGGTTTCCACCTGCCATGCTTTCTGCCGTGTCTGTTATCTTTCTGTAAGTTATTGCAGATGATATTTCCAACAATTCTTTTAACTGAATTAGTAGGTATGTTTGCAAGACATAACTGTCACTGCAGTGCTATACAAAGCAAAGTGTTAGCTTATGTAGCTAAAAGTGTGCTACTGCAGAAAGTAAGTCTTGGTGTTGACTTAGGGTGCTGTCTTAATTTTCTTTAAAAGAGATTTGTTGGGAAAAGCAGCAAAGAGCAACAGAAATAACAAGAAGGGGCTTCTCTAAAATTAATCTGTTTTAAAGCAAACTTAGTGCTAGTAACAGAGGCATAAATTGATAGTGCACAATTCTTGTTAGGCGTGCAAAGCATTAGTTCTCTTTAAGCAGAAGGGCTCTGAAAATGGTTTACAAATATCAGTACCAAGCACAGGTGTGCAAAATGTTCTGGCACCTGAAACAAACTGGAACTTAGAATGGGCCTGTTCAGAATGCTCCATTAGTAGAGCTTGCACCCTCCTAGAAGGTGGGTGCTTATTATCCTTACAGTCTACAAGACCATAATACAGAAGGAAAAAGGATGTGGTTTCTGTCAGTCTTTGCTGTACTTCTAACACAAGAGCTGCTGGCTGAGTGACAACTGAAGTAAGCCGAAGGCAGCTGATCTCTCAGCAGAACTCATGATCAAGTGGTTGATTTGATTGGGTTTGTAGCTGCCCTGGGGGTGTGCGGGGGGTGGGTGTTGATGGGCTTTCTGTATTGTGGATTTTAATTCTGTAAGCCACCCAGAGTCACTGTGTGTGAGTTGGGCAGCCATATACATTTGTTAAATAAAATAAAATAAGATGCAAGACTGATTGCAGATGTGGGAAATGCTGGTATTGTCCCCTTAGAACGTGTGCAGAGTAAGAGCAATGATTAGAAAAACTGCTGCTGAAAGAGAAAAAAATGCAACAGCATAAAATCTGAAATTTGGAAAGAACAGATTTCCTGCTTTAAACTTTTCCATGGCTAGAAATAACAGGATGAAGCTTAAGAGATTAGAATAATTTATTTAAGTAGAAGCCTTCTAAGAACTCGACACTGTTACATTCCCATATTTGGCAACAGCTTGCAGTCTCTCAGCCCAGTGCTGTACCAGAGCCATAGTAAAGGTGATATTAATTACATGGTTGCAGTTATGTCTAGTGTTAAACATTCATATAGCAGCGGGGACAGAAGGAGCTGATCAGGGCTGCAGAAAAACTTTTTTTAGCCCATTGTTCCAGTGAACTCTGCCACCTGGTCTATCCTATAAGGACTTATTTTGATGCCAGTGAATTCTGTTTGCACGAACATGTTAGCTGTTTAAATGTCAAAATAGATTATATAACTTGGCCCTCAGTTTGTAACATATTTGCTTTTTTTTTTTTAAATTAGAAGAGAGGTGGGAGTCATTGGTGACTGAACCTAGGTTATTTTTTAAGTTGCTTAATCTAGAATTCATTTAATTTATAGCAGCAATATTAATAAACTAATATATGTCCTAGCAGAATTTACAATTCTAATATCTTAATGTCCATTTTTGAGACTTGTTAGGCTTGCCAATCTCACTGCAAATAAAAATAATGCAACCTGGAAGCGATGGATTACAATACATTTAGAGAATATCAGGTTGTAGAGGGTTCCAATTGCTACAGTTCTCACTAGTTTCTTTTACAGGTTGACAGTGAACTACTGTGTCTTTCAAAGTCAAATAGGTTTTTCCTTTCCCTTTCCCTTTCCCTCTCCCTCAGCTCCCTCCTAATACCTGCCAAGCTCGTTCTCCCATTAGTCAGCTTATGTTTCCATTGCAGAAATAAGATATGTAGCAAAAAGATTATTTTCAGATTCGTACTTGTTCCTGTTCCTTTTCCCACCCTCCAGTCCCTCAAGCATGGATGCACTTATTATGTAAGTGTCAGTTGGAATCTCTAATTAGAGTACACCATGCATACTATTCCCTGCTTCTCACTTTCTAGGAGGTGTATAAAGTTCATGTACTTAATTACAAATGCTTGTGGAGATGTTGGAGATGTACTGGTGGAACATGAATGTTATGTGTAATTTTGTATGCAGTTGATACTATCTTGTTGGCTGAGAACCCAAATGATTTGCAACAAATATTGGATCAATTGTATGATGCAACAAGAAATGTTGCATTAATTAAAATTAATTTAATTTTAAATTAAAATTAAAATTTAATTAAAAATAAAATTAATGTCCCTCCTGAGGAGTATTCAAGGCATCTAATGGATAAAGTTGCTTGAATCTGCTTTGAACTGAACTTTGCCTTGTACAGGTCCTATGAAGTTGACTGAGTCACAGTCTGATTTGGTTACCTGAGAGGAGTGAGCTTGTTGGTTGGGAGGAAGTGGACAGGATCTTTGGGGCTGTAAGCATGGCCATCTGTGTATTCAAGCCATGTTCCTTCTGATTGACCAAAATATTCTGGGAGGCAATGTGTAGTTAGGTCCAGGCGGTGGTAAATTCATCCTTCAGTGAGGGCATGGTTTGTCCCTTCCTCAAGAAGCCATCCCTGGACCCAGTGGTATTGGATGATTTTTGTCCTGTCTTCTTGTTCAGAAGGTGGCTGGGTTGAAGCTTTAGTGGGCCCTGGAAGAAACACATTCAACCTGGGTGTAGTACTAAGACAACACTGATTGCCTTTGTGGTGATACCTGATGAGATTGGGATGGTGGTAGTGCATCCATTGTGCCCCCCCAATCTCTCAGCAGCTTTCAATACCATTGATCATGACATTCTTCTAGACTGGCTCAGGACTGGGGAGTGTATGGCACAGTGTTGCATTGTTTCTCTTTTGTCTCATAGGATCAGTTCCTATTGAAGTCAGTAGGGGAAGAGGTTTAGCCCCTGCTTTGCAGGGCTCCTCTGGTCTCTATTTGCTCCCCAATGCTATTTAATATCTACATGGATAAGGTCATCTGTCATCACAGATATCATCAGTATCCTGCTAATACTCAATTATCTCTACCTTGGCTGATAAGTGATGCCTTCAAGGTTCTTCTCAGTGTCTGGAGGTCAAGGGAGCCTGGCTGGAAGGAATAAACTTGGGCTCATTCCTAGCAAACTGAGAGGTTATGGCTTTTAGGGCCTCCCAGAGCTTGGAATTTTCCATCATTGATTCTGAAGGGGATAGCACTCCCCCAAATGGAACTGGTGTACAAGGGGGGGGGGTTCCTTCTACACACTCAGCTCCTGCCCAAAAAGCAGGTAGCAACAGTGACTATGAGGGCCTTTGGACAAATCCATTTTGTGCACTATTTATGTCTATTGCTGGTTTTGGAGGTCCTGTCCAGTTACTCACATGTTAGTCACCACCTTGTTTGAATTACTGCAATGTGCTGTACATAGGACTGCCCTTGAAGGCTATTTGGAAGCTGCAGCTGGTCCAGAATGCAACAGGGTGGGTAGTTAGGAGCACATCTTAGTATGCCCAGGTGCACATGACTGTGGAAGCTACACTGGGCTCCAGAAGGCTCCATGGTGCAGTTCAAAAGTGCTGGTTGTCACCTACAAAATCCTTCATGGCACAGGGCTGGGTAACTTGCAGGACTGCCTATCTGCAATTATTTCTGCCCATCCCATAATAATGAACAGGATGGGTATGTTCCAGGTCTTTTCTATTAAATAATGTCATCTGATGGGAGCCAGGCGGTGTGCTTTCTTTGTCACTGCACCTCCCCTGTGGAGCATTGCCCCCAAGGTCTGGATGGCCCCAACCTTGACAACTTTGCATAATGTGCTGAAGACCTGATTTTTCTTTCAGGCACTGGGACAGGATGTTAGGTGAGCCTCTTTTCGGGGGTTTTATATTTATAATTATATGGTTGTCTATGGGCCTGATTTGTTTTTAATGTTATTTTGGTGACTTTTTCTTGTTTTTAATTAGATACTAGCCATCCAGAGTTGCATGGCAAGTAGGTTGCCATATAAAATGAATGAATGAATGAATGAATGAATGAATGAATGAATGAATGAATGAATGAACAAAGAAGCAAATAAATGAATAAATGGGAAGAATATAAAGTAGATGAACACCTTGGTAGAATGTTCAATAATAATGAGGAAACTGATGGATCATTTTTAAGATGTGCAAGTATTAGTAGAAAGAAATTAGGTATTGTGTGGACTGTGGTGAGAAACGAAAGTCTGAGTAAAAAAGTGAAAAATATTGATGTATTGATTCATTCTGGATTCTCAGCAGTGAACACAATATATAATTAAAACGTCCACAGTTAATTACAAAAATAAAAAATTCTCAGTCAATTAATAAAATAAAAAAAATAAACCAGTTAATGGCACATAATCCACTTTGACTAGTCACTGTTAGTCAATGTAATCATTATAGATATCTACAAACATTCTTCAAAAGAGCTGTTTTAAGTAGGGCCGGGACAAAAAATAAATGTAATTTATACTTACGCTTGAGTTGAAATATGATTACTCTCGTATCACATGCCAGCTAGGGCCCACATGTCATCTTTTGGGGACCTTCCCCAAATCATTGGATTGCACATTCTGCTTGAATTGATGAATCACTATCTCAGAGGCAATTCTTCCTTTGTTTCAACAGGTTGATCTACTATTTGGACCCCTCTGTTCTTTCAGGTGTTTCCTGCTTTGTCATGTTGCTTTGTCTGGCTGACTACCTTGTACCTGCTCTTGCTCCTCGAATTTTTGGCTCCAGTAAATGGTATGTTTGAGTATTAAAACCCATGAATGGTTTCTTTTTAAAAAAATAGTAAAAAAATCAAGCAAGAAAAGAAATGAGTGCTGATATACCTGTTGCCGTGTGAACTGTACATGTTGGTCAGAACGAAAATGCTGCTACTTGCCGTTCTTTAATGATTGGGAATAAAGAGCCCCCCATGGGAATAGCCTAGCTGTTGTAGTATTCCTGACTCTTCCCACTGTTGCTAGCAGGGTCATTGGGCTGAGTCCATCTCTTCTGTTTTCCTCTCTCTCTTGTTTTGCTTACTTAATAAGCAGCAACGTGCTTCAGTAGCACAGTCGGAACATTTTGAGGTAATGCAGCTCAGGAACCATGCTGCTGCAAATAATCATTTGCTGATCCAGCAACATAAAATAGGAGGGAGGAGCACTGTGCACGCCACCTTGAGCTCCTCTTACAAAAGGTAGGATATAAACCAAATAAATAAATATTCAACAGAAAACTGCCATCTTAAATAAAACTTCAGTTTGCAGTTCATGACACACTCTTTATCATATCCAGTAATCCCAGCCATATGTGGTAAGTGCAAATGAGTGCAGATTCTATAAAATATAGAAAATTACAGGGAATACATTTGATCAACTTAGGTTTTCCATGCATTCAAAATCTAACAGATAATAGCTAGGGATAATAAGGCTAAGGAGACACTTTGCTGGAGTAGGAAAAATGGAAGGAGAATAAATGAATGATGAATGTGGGTGCAGGGTTAAGTATTTTGTTCAGGAGAGGAAAAATATTAGTGTTTTGCTTTGAAAACTTTCTTAAAGGACAACTGAACAACAGCAACGCTTCCATGAAATCTGCAGCAATCTGGTAAAAACACGGCGCAGGATCGTTGGTTGGTGGAAACGCCTTTTCACATTTAAGGAAGAAAAGCCTAAAATGGTAATTTGTTTTCTGAAGTTGTTTCAACCCAATAACATGATTAACTCAGTCTAGATTACGTATAGTAAGATCAAAGGATTTAATTGCTACATTTGATTTGCATATGTTTAATGAGAGTCCACCTTTAGTTTAAATGTGAGTTTTTAAATGCAGACATTAGAAAGTTATTTCTAATTGATTATTATATTTTGATTTTACTTGTTGGCAGCAGCTTTACCAGGATAATGCTTTAGGCTTTGGGAATAATCAGACTGCCCCCTTGGGGTCAGTACGTAAAATAAAATAATCTTGTTCAGAATGAGCTAATGAACTGTTTTGTTTGTAACAGCCAGGGGGAAATGCCGAACTAAATAAAGCATTGTCTTATACCTTCAGAAGCTGTATTTTATGTTTGTTTAATATGTATGATCTCTCTTCCAGTACTTCACAACAATGCTGTGTTTGTTAGCTATGATCGCTTGGATAGGACAGCAAGTTCATAACCTCTTCCTCACTTATCTTATTGGTAAGCAATAGACAAAGTTGACAGGGCTGAAAATATTGTTGTTTTTCTCTACCAGAAAATGGGAATATTAAATTAGCAAATGTGGGAAACAAACCTGACAGGGAATGACTGATGATAATTTGTTCTTGTTTCTTTTTTTAAAAGTGAGCTTCTTGTTGTTGTTCCCTGGATTAAACAAACACGGAGTAATTTCTAAATATGCTGGAATGGCAAAAAGGGAGGTCAACAAACTCCTCAAGCAGAAAGAGAAGAAAAATGAATGAAGTGTTGCTTGCTATGTCACCCAAATATATAATTGTGTTCTGGGAACAATTCAAATGACTTGCTGCGTATTTAATAGTATAGAAGTGCTTATACCGGCCATTGCCTTTTAACTTTAAATGTGGGGCCCTTTTCTGCTGTACAAATACCAACCATACGGTCCTGCAACCACACATTAATACAGCGTGTTAACACAGACAGTCGTTCTTCTAGTAAGTGTGATTAGCAATCTCATAGTCTGATAAGGCTGTTGATCCATAATTATTGGTGGTGGTAAGCTGATTATAATTGTGTGGAGCTATCCTGTGTTAATATTTTTGGTGTAAAAGATATCAGCTTAACTGCTGTATTCCTTCTAAGTGTTTCAAGGACACACACTGGACTGACTAGATTTATTTGGTGATATCCTCCAGAGTAAATGAATACAATTCATATTAAATTGTGGATTACAGTGATTTGAATAAGCAAGGCTGCTGAATTGTGCATCCAAGTTGCCCCTGTGTTTATAATAAAATGTATTGCACTGGAATTATACAGGAAACAGGTTTAGGAAGTGAAATCAGCTTTTTGTTCAATTTAAATTGCTGTAATTTTGATGTCATGTGTTCTGATGTTTTTAACAAATATGGTCTAAAAATACAAAAATGTGTTGAAAATACGTGATGCATCCATCTTGTTAACATGTTTATCGCTGAGTTTCCTTATTGCTATTTTTCTTATATTTTAAATTAAAATAGCTATATCTTATTTGTCTCCAATATGGTTTCAAAGACAAATTTCAGTCATAATTTGAAATGAATGAACAGTGTTATTCCCGGTTTGAAATCAGTCTTGAGGAACCTGGCCAAATCGGTAAGAAGTATTCCCCACTGTGCTTTAAGCACTACATTATTTCGATACTCTTTTCTGTGGCCAAGTTTGCTTTTGCAAGGGACACCAACGTGCTTGACTTGGAAGTGTGGGATGAAAAAGAGGCACAATGCAATTAGCATAGAAATTCCATTTATTGCCTATATATTGGCACTGCAGATATTTGGCTGAGAGAGGAATTCATTCAGTTGTAAAACTTAAAATTCCTGGGATCTCTTTAGTGCTACACAGAGCTTCAGATAACTAATTTGAATATGATACCAAACTCATGGTATTATGTGGTGTTAGATTTCATTTATTTTTGGATAAATTGAACTTGGTCAAGATACTGCTTCTCCAAACCAACTGAAACTTCTTGTTTGAATATGCCACATTGGCTCATGTTGTAGGAATGACTTTCACCTTTATTAATGCCATCTTTACTTATATATTGATTAGATTTTTAGATACTGCACAAGATTCCTATAGTAGGAAAGGCTGTATCTTTGTCAAGTGAATAATACTTTGAGATTAGAAGCCTGTCAGAGTGATTTATTTCTCTAGTATTTGTGCCCTTTCATTGTAGTAAGAACATGCGGTAGGAGAAGCAAAAGACAAAAAGTGTTTTGATAAACTGATTTGAGTAAGTCATTTTTAGTTTTTTTTTTAAAGCATACACTCTATATTTACTGTCACTCCCTTTCTCTTTTTTTATAATTTTTTTCTAGAGGAGAACCAACATTATTTAGATTGGATTGTAATGCAGTGTTTTAAATGAGTGAAACAATATTGTAAGATGGAAGAAGCTCGCATTGTGTAAAAATAGGACAGATACACGTGGGCTGGGAGTCAGGATAATTTTTGCGTACTGTCCATTTTTTGTCCGTTTGATTGTATTAAATGTGTAATATAGATGGATGTTAATGTATACTTAGGAAACTGAAAATTGAATAAAAATGTTAATAGAAGAAAAACATGAGTGGTGTTTTATTGAAGGTGTATGCCAGACCCGGTCTTCAGTTATTCAAAAATTCTAAAGAAAAGTCCTAGTAAAACAGTTGTCTGTTATTCCTGAGACAGTAAGCTGCTGAGACCTTGATGGTCTCAATTTCTTTCCACTTTTTCTTAAATCACTGTTTGCTTGTTGACAAGTTCTTTGCTTGGGACACAATTTGTGTATCAAATTTTGAACCCCAACTTATTTCAATAGCTGATGAAGACAATTCTTAATCCCTTCCGTCTTTCAGGTTTTCTTTGGCAAGGTGGTTACACCTTGGACACAATGTGGGGTTAAGCTGATGATGAGAGGATCTACCTGGATTAACAACTCTGACATTTAAATAAAAGAAAAAACATTGAAATATTTCATATTTCATTGAGATAACCCTCAATTAGCACAATTTCTTTGTGCTAATTATCAGCCATTTCAGCTGGGGACATGGGACTTGTAGTTCAACACAGCTGGAGGACACCAGGCTGGTGCAGTTCCTTAGGTCAATATCCACTAGTTCACCCAACCCATTAAGCAGTGGTACAGTTGGACTTTTGGGGGTAAAAATGGTGATTCCTTCTCTTGTAGTTTATAAACTATGGTCTATGGTGTGGTGGTATCAGGTTCAGTTTATTGAAACAACCGTGGCTTAGCATGATTTTCAAACCTAGCCCCTGTCGCAGCGGGAGATTGAAAGCATGGGGACAGCATAGAAGAGCAAATGGTGTTACAAAGCAACAGCCAGCTATTTGGTTATATAGTGTTGAACTGGGACCTGGGTTCTAACTATGGAAGCACACCAGATGACTGTGAACTAGTTGTTCCTTCTCAGCCCAACCTACTTCATCAAAAGATTAGAAGAGAGCGTGGGATACATCACATAGTGCTCCTGGAGGAAAGTCTGGGACATCTGTCTGACCAATAATAATACCAACCCCACCCCCAACACCAAATTAAGTCATAATAGGTTTATATTTGTATCTGCTGGGGTTTTTTTTTTTTTTCAAACTGCTGCTTCCCTGTAAAAGTGTAATTATCTTTCCAGATTCCTGATACTGAATAATGACCAACTTTAGGTTTGGCCAGTGGCTGGGTTCATTTGGAATCCTAAGCCATGTTTGGTTGAGTGGCCAAGTTTGAGAAACGCTGGTTTAAAAGCATTGCACGCTATAGTTTTCCATTAACACTGCAGTTTGATGTGAAGTTTAGATTTCCAGCGCCAAATCAAGCAGGCTACAAGTTGCCATGAACCAACTTTACCCTACGCTGCTTGATGGAGCTCAGGGCAGCCTGGGTTAGAGTTCGCCGCCCCGAGGCAGAACTGAAAACGGAACCTCTCTTCCCTCAGTGCCAAACGATGAGGACCCCTCTTGCATTTCCATTCTCTATGGTCTCCAAACCATCCCCGACGCACAGAATCCGGAAGGCTGGATCCGGAAGTTCTCTCTCCGCTCCTTCCTGGTTATCTTGCCGCCTCGAATTCCCATAATACTCCGCGCGCGCGCGGCCGCCTTCCTTTTTCCGCCATCTTGCTACCCTGGTGAGTAGCGAGAGGCTTTCGGTCCCCGCTAAGATCCGTCCGGCATCGCCTCCATCCCGCGTCCTCGGGCCCTTTTCACGCCGGTCCCGGCAAGCCGGGGCTCCGCTCGACCCGCACAGCTTCTTCGGAGGAAGCCGCGCGCGTCCTGGCCCTCGCGGCGCCGGTCTGCACCGAGCCGGGGGGTTGGTTGAGGCGGCTAGTTGGGGGGGGGAAGGCTGG